AAACCGAAGTTCCTATCTCAACAATGCATTATCTATGTTCCATAGTAGTTAACCTTATGACAAATTTTTAATGTTCTCCTTCATTTCGTTCGTGCGTTTTGTAGTGAAAACAACGGTGTCGACCAGGGCGCCATCGCAACCGGGTCGAAAAAACCGCGCCAGTTTTACGCTTGTGAATGATGAACGCTTTAGTGATAATTTAGTATTGCTGTGGTAAAAGTGAGTTAATTTTAATTTTGTGAAAATATAATTAAATGTAAGAATATAATTAAAGTGTAGTGCTTGATTTAGTTGTATAGTAGTTGTGTAGTAGTGATGCAAATTATTTTGACATTGTTTTGTGGTTTGGCGCCTTTTTAAGGAGATTCATGAATTGTGTTTTTGCATTCAGGTAATGGATATTTACTATATGATCTTACTTTTTTAAGTAAAACTTCTTTAGGCGCGATTAGCGTGTAAAACTGTGAGAATGCAACGGAACTGTACGTCAATCACTTTCGATGAAATCATTTCAATACGGGTCGATTGTGATTAGTCGTCGTGTATGCTAATAGAGATCTGTCTTTGTTTGCGTACCGGCATCGACGTTGAATGCGTACCGATATCAACAAGGAAATCGGCATAGATAAATAAACATTTTAAAGTTACGTCGTAGTACAAATCTTGATTTCATGAAAAATGCCTCAACCAGAAGAATATTTTACCCTGTTCCTTGAAAATAATAAAACAATTTAAACATTTGCGCCGTGTACTAAACTTAAGTTTATTGATTAGAAATTATTTCTATATTATTCGTAGTTTTTATAAATCTTTGAAGTTATTAACGTGGAAAATAATTAAGGCAAGACAGATTTTATAGCTGCTCAAAGAATGAGATTATATCGCCAGCGAAAAAGTAAAAAAAATACAAGCAGTCAATGAATGTATATTAATTTTAATTACATGAAGTTCTTCAAACACAATTATTATATGATGAGTGAAATTGTGAAAACAATGTTTCTTTAGGCATTGTTTTACATAATCCACTGAGTGAACGAATATTATTGAATTTATTAATCAGCAATTACTTCATTTCTCTAATGAAGGTTCATTTCTAAATGCTAATTACAATGACAAACCGATCATGTCACATTTGAAGTATGACTTTAATTACATTATTGTTTTTAAATATTATAGATATTTTAATGCTATTGTAAATATATAATTATTATAATTTATCATTATGTTTCTTTATGTTAATAAATAAGGAATTAGCATGACTATTCGTGTCGTTTGTAAGTGTAAGTGGCATTTTTCCTTAAGGCAGGTGGCATGGCTAGGCTCATAAGTGAATTGAAATTTTTGGCAGATATCATTTGTTTTCAATTCCAAAGAATGCCTCAAACGTTTTCAATGCCATGTTGTTTTTTGCAATTTTTTCCATTTATTTCTACAATATTACTATATTTTTTTATTCACATACATCCTAGAAAATTCACATAACACACTTCAGAAAGATTTACCAAAATCCAAATAATCGTTTAAGAGGGGTATATTTACATCCATCATTACAGAAGAATTTTATGTATACGATATATTTATTTATCAAAATAAATACATTTCAGTTCTTGATATATTTATTTGGAAATATACATTTATTAATGAATAAACATAGTTTCATAATTAAGTATAATTTTTAATTTTTACATTTCAAGTTTCTTACTTTTCCTAAAAATCTAAATAATTATTTTTTTAATAATTCAGTTTAGGAAAATTGTGTTTGTTCAATTATAAAAATAATTTCAATTCAATAGTTTTATAAACATTATTTATCAATTTTAATTGTTAATGGAATTTTTCTTCACGAAATAGAACAGTGATGTCCAAAATTTATAAATAATTATTTAATATTTGATAAAATAATTATTTAACATATTTATATATAATGCTACTAAATTTTTTACTTTTTATCAACTTTATTTGTTATTTTTTTACATTTTCAAATGCAATTTCTTTGAAAAATTTATTCAAACTCAATTCTTTTCTTCAATGTTCTTTTTTTACTTGGAAAAAGTGTTTTAAAAATTACTTTGAATAAATAAAAACTAGATAAAATTTACTGAAAATTGCACTAGTGTTCAAAAAACTGTTTTTTCAGGAATTAATGAGTAAAATTGTAATTTTAGAAAATTCTATCGATTTTTTGTTAAGTTTCTCTTAATTTTTTGTTGGCTACTTGTTTTAATTAGCAGTAACTAAGTTTCTGGTTAGGAATTTTCATAAAAGAGTAAATTTGCATATAAAAACAAATTGCGAACAATTTTCTTAAGAACTATTTTATAAAATTGTTCTGAAATCCAAGCTGGATGATTAATAAAAGATTTAACATTGTAATTCCAAATGCTCGAGGCTCGTTTAGTTTTTGTTAATTTATTATAACTTTTTTTGCGACCATTTTTTAGCAAATTGTTTAAAATAATGGAAACTAGATAAAATTTACTAAAACTTTTATGAATGACTATTTTTATGTAACTTGCTCTGATAAAAAACTACAAGCAAGATAATTGTCAACAACGTTTCAAATTGCAGGTCAAGCTGTATGCGATTTTTCGGTTTATTAACTATAACTTTATTTTGCTAACATTTTTTCAAAATTAGTTTAAACAAATGGAAACTAGATAAAATTTACTTAAACTTTTATTTAAGACTATTTTTGTGTAACTTGCTCTGGTAAAAAACTACACGTCCAAGAATTGTCAACAAAGTTTCAAATTGCAAGTCAAACTGTATGCGAGTTTTTGGTTTATTAACAAAAACTTTATGTTTATAATGTTGTTAGTAAATTTGTTTAAACCAATGGATACTAGATAAAATTTTCTGACACTTTTATAAATGACTATTTTTATGTAACTTACTCTGGTAAGAAGCTACTAGCCAGAGAATTCTGAACAAGGTTTAAAATTGCAAGTCACAATGCGTGCGCTTTTTTAGTGTATTTACCATAACTTTTTCCTGCGAATTTTTTCAGGCAATTTGTTTAAACAAATAGAAACTACACAAAATTTACCAAAACTTTTGTGAATGACAATTTTCACGTAACCTGCACCAATAACCATCTACAAGCCCAAGAATTAACAACAACCTTTAAACTTTCAAAGAACAACACTTTATTCCTCAACTACAAATCAAATTCCCAGTGCATCTCAATCTTTTCCAACCCAGTAGCATTATATATATTTAAATATCCTTATTATATACAAAATATGTCAATTATCATTTATTCCAAATCGTAATAATAACGTGGACTAGGTGGATTCGAATCGTAAAAGTATCCTCCCATTCGTTTGACGAATCCGTCGAATCCGCCCCTGTCGATCTCATCGAAATTCTTTTTGACGAAACTGTCGAATCCGCTCCTGTCGATTTCGTCGAAATTCTTCTTGTCCATCAATTGAAGTTGATGTTGATGTTGCTGGAGGGTTGCCAATTGGTAGGGCGATAGGGGCGAACGCTTGTGGCCACCGTAGGTACTACCCCTGGGTAAAAGATAATTGAATGTAATAATAGATACTTTTTGCATTTATCTACATATATATAAAAATAAGTCGAATTATAGCTAAGAAAATTAGTGGTGCATGGCATCGTGCCTTAATGCAAATTGCTGGAACTTCACGCACCGTAATTAAAAATTCGAGTAATGACATTGGTGAGAATTATCAGAATTATGCTTGGTTAAGTCAACGAGCAATTCTTGCCGCAAAGAATAATAATGTACACGCACTGAATTTCACCATTCAGTCAAAAATTGCTGGCGATTTGGTGACATACCAATGATTCCGACTGGTCTTCCGTTTGACTTCAAACGATTGCAATTTCCAAGCGTTCGCAATATCAAGTCTCAAGGCCAATCGCTTAGTGTTTGCGGGATAAATTTCAAATAGATTAATTATACAATCATTGTTTTTCACAGTTATACGTTGACTGTTCACGAGTTGGAAAACCATCCGCTTTGTTTGTGTTAACTTCAGACCAAAAAACAAAAAATGTGGTTTACCAAAGAGCACTTCAATGAAACGGAAAATTTGCGGAATCACTTTCATTTACTCAGAGAAGTTCAACTAAAAAACACTTCATTTTTGTAATCGAAATAAATTCATTACTGTTGTATAATAAAATCAATTTTTTTCTTTTCAAATATAAAACGAACGAAAAATTTCTTCATCTTTCTCACGAAACCAACTGGTGGCGAAACGGAGTTCGTCAGGTTTGCTAGTTAATTAATATATGTAGATAGTTTGTTTATCTTACCCCAAAGTGTCGAATCGTTTTTGGGTTCCGTATGTGACTCCAGACAAAGAGTCGATGCCTCTGGTTTCTCTCAACAGATGGCCTCCGCCTAGGGCGTCCAAATTCCGCAAAGGTACTGCACTGTGCCTTCCTGAACCTATTTACATTTTATCACAAAAAAATTAACAAATAAATATTTTAATAATAAAATTAATGTTAATAATGATAAATAACACACAAGTGGTTTTGACTATGCTTATTTTATTTTTGCTTGTACAAAATGTTATTATTGTCAGTCACAGCAAATCTTCATCAGATAAAAGATTTCTTAATGCGAATTCTTTTCAAGTTTTTTCAAATAGTTCAATAAATAATTCCAAGTTTTATTCGACGAGTGGCGTCTTGAAAAATCCTCTTCTTGAGTAGATCTTACCAGATGTCCGCCTCCCAAAGAATCCAGGCTTCTCAATAAATTGCCTCCACCGAGGTAATCTAAAGCTCTGGCTAATTTTGAATTCTGATCTGAACTTCTTTTTATTAAATTGCCGCCTCCAAGTGAGTCTAAACTGCGGACCAAGTTGCCACCTCCAAGGGAGTCTAGACTTCTGACCAAGTTGGCGCCTCCGAGGGAATCTAGACTTCTGACCAAGTTCCCCCCACCAAGGGAATCTAGACTTCTGACCAAGTTCCCCCCACCAAGAGAATCTAGACTTCTGACCAAGTTGCTGCCTCCAAGGGAATCTAGATTTCGGACTAAGTTGGCGCCCCCAAGAGAATCTAAACTTCTGACTAAGTTGGCGCCCCCAAGCGAGTCTAGACTTCGGATCAAATTGGCGCCCCCAAGGGAATCTAGACTTCTGACCAAGTTGCTGCCTCCAAGGGAATCTAGATTTCGGACTAAGTTGGCGCCCCCAAGAGAATCTAAACTTCTGACTAAGTTGGCGCCCCCAAGCGAGTCTAGACTTCGGATCAAATTGGCGCCCCCAAGGGAATCTAGACTTCTGACCAAGTTGGCGCCCCCAAGGGAATCTAGACTTCTGACTAAGTTGGCGCCCCCAAGGGAATCTAAATTTCTGACCAAATTACCGCCTCCCAATTCATCCAAGCTTCTAACCAAATTTCCACCTCCTAGCTCATCCAAGCTTCTTACCAAATTTCCACCTCCCAACTCATCCAAGCTTCTCACCAAATTCTCACCTCCCAGCTCATCCAAGCTTCTCACCAAATTTCCACCGCCAAGTTCATCCAAGCTCCTCACCAAATTACCGCCACCAAGTTCATCCAAGCTTCTCACCAAATTACCGCCTCCCAATTCATCCAAGCTCCTCACCAAATTAGCGCCTCCCAGTTCATCCAAACTTCTTTCGCCAAAATTGTGTTTTTTCTGATGGACTTTATTTAAACTTCTCAATAAATTGCCGCCTCCTAAATAGTCCAGACCTCTGGTCACTTTTTGATGGAAATCTAGAAACCCATTTTGGTATAAAAATAAATGGTTAGTTGGTTTTTGGATAAAAGAAAAGCGTGTATTTACAAAAGCCTGGAGTGCGAGTCAGACTCCAGGTAATAATTTTTATTATTACCTGGATTACTTTTTATAATTACATGTGGTAATTTTTATTAACTTTTTGAAGGTTTTTGGCGATTTTTGTTTTCTGGATGTTTCAAGTCATTCTGAATCGTTTGACATCAAATTTGGAAAAATATGTATGTGTATCAAAATTAACTTTCTGAAGGTTTTTGGCCATTGTTGTTTTCTGGATGTTTCAAGTCATTGTGAATCGTTCGACACTAAAATAGTAAAAACTGTGTTTATATCAAATATTATTATGATATATATATCAAATGTTATTTTTTGTCTATTTTTTCACTGCTGAACCAGTTTCCCTAATTTTTTAAAAATTCAAAAATTAACAAAAAATATATTATTGGTTGAAAATCGTGCTTAACAGTTTTTGCTTTCCTTAGGGTAAGTTAATGTATTCGCAAAAAAATCTAAAATGAAAATTTTTATACATTTTTACGTTTCAAAGGTTTCTGAATATTTTGGCATACCTTGGAAAAAATGGATGTATGTGTGTGTATGTATTTGTGTGTATGGATTTGTGTGTATGGATTTGTGTGTATGTATGTGTGTGTGCGGATACAAATTTTCGTCGACGATTTCGGGAACACGGATCAACCGATTTGAATTATTCAAAAAACATTCGATTCGTATTGATAAGGAGACGTGCTGATTAGATGACATCAAATTTTCGATAAAATAAGTTAAAATAATGTCATTTGGCGATGTTTATTGGACATATGTACATCAAATTATCAGATATTTCATAGAGATTGTAATAATGTGTGCACATTTTGTGTAATTTTTTTTGGGTTCCGTACCAAGATTTTTAATTACGGTACGGAAAGTTCCAGCAATTTGCTTTAAGACACGATGCCATTCACACCACTAGTTTTCATTTGGCTTCAAACGTTTCAAAATGACATAAAACATCGAGAAAAATTAAAGCAAGTCAAATCTAATTTCGCAAGTCAAATTTAAATTTTGGTAATATTTGCACAGAATCTTTTGTTCTTTGGACAAGTTGAATGTATATATACAAATGAAAATAAATAAAGGTAAATGTATTTGTAACATAAATAAAAAATAAACATTTAAATAAGTTGAGTCGATACATAAATAAATGAATAAATGAATTTATAAGTAGTATATATGAATTAATATATAAATGAATGAGTGTATAAATAAACATGTAAATGATACGTGGATAAATATACATGCATATATATATATATATATATATATATAAATTAATTTATTTATACTTACATTATATTTGCACAGCTTTTTCTATATACAAAGCATTTACATCTGGACCGACACACGTAAAACTTTGACAAACACTGTTATAGGGATGAAATATATATACAGCACTTTATATATTGATGACACATTTTTAAATTATATATATATATATATATATATATATATATATCTTAAAACGTTAATGTTTTAACAAATTTAATATGTACACGTTTTGGTTAAAATCCCAGCCAGCCTTCATTCAGTTGAAAAGTTTTAAAAGAAATTAAGAAAATTGTTTATATTATTTTTAAAATTAAAATATAAAAATATTACCTTATCTAAATTTAAAATATTATTATACAAAAAACAAATACTCAAAAGTAATATAAAATCTGATGTCTATAGCTTTCCTTGTAAATAAACATATTAAAATTATAAAAATAAATAGTTACCATTATTTTTTCTAAAATTATATATGTGAATAATATTTACTTAATAAAATTTTTCCAAATAAATTTTAAAATTATAAAAATAAATAATATTTAATTAAAATCAAGTTTAAAAATTCAAAATGATTTTTCTACATTCTCATTTTTATTGAAAATAGTGAATTTAATATTAAAATTTTAGTTTAAATGTTTGTTTGTTTTTTTATCAATTTATATCAGTAGGGTTATTATTGTATCATTTTATATCAATAGTTACTTAATATTATTTTTTTATACTTTACTTAGTTTTATGCATTTATATAATTAAATATTAATATTTTATGTTTATTTACAGATGACGAATAAAATCTGGAGGCATATATACAGAACAGCTGAAAATGTAAGTTTTTAAAGCTTTTTTTTTCATTCGCATGATAAAAACAGCTTGATATTTTATTTTACAACAAATTTTCCTAAAACTATTTCAAAAGAAATTTTTGCAGTACTTTGTTTAGTACAATTTCATATAACAAATAATTTTATAAAGAAAATAGCAAAAAGAGCAAAAATTGTACCAGAACAAATCTATATCAACATTTCTGATGTCAAAGTATTTTTAAAAATATTAAAAAATAAAATATCAAGCTGTACACATTTTTAAATATTGCATCGTACATTATTATATATATCCAAATGTACAATTTGTTTATCTCTCATTTTTTTAAATATTTTATTATTAAAAGTTTGCAAAAACTTACCATGTTGTTCGAAATTTTTGTTGGCTAATTCTTCTTTGCCGGATCTGAGTTGGTACATTAGTGATTCTAAACCGTGATTTTGCTAAAAAAAAATAAGAAAAATGAACAAAAATAGTAATAAAACATTAAATAACATATTTTTATATTCAATTTTGTTAAATTTTAATTCTTGGGGTGGAAAATATATGTTGAAGTTTATAGAATTTTGAAACGTTTTCATTATTTTATATATACATTTTTATGTTATTGATCATTGTCATCATTTTATCATCTCTAATACATTTCTAACTAAATTTAAGACATTTTATATGGCATTTTAGTACAATTTTTAGAAAATTTACAACAATTCCAGACAATTCAGACAACTTACGACAATTTCAGACATTCTACAATATTTTGAGACAATCCACGACTTTTATTTATGTTCTTATAAATTGTTCTTATAAAAATATTAAAAAAGTTAAATTTGATATACTAAACAAATTCTATAATATGAAGAGTTTTAAATTATTTTTATATTAGAGTCACATATAAATTTTAAAGTAAATAACCAGTTTAAATTTTTATTTATTCCTATTTAGATGTTACAAAAAATACATATTCATTTCAAAAGGCACTAAGAAATTTATTGTAAAATATTTTATTTAGACTGATGACAAGTCTGATATTTAGTTGTGGTCATGGTAATAGTGAAATGCGTCTTAAAAAATTGGTAATAGATTTTTTTTAAAATAGATTTACAACGTTTTCTGACAATTTACCACATTTTGAGACAATCCACTATTTTTATTCATGTTTCTATTTATATTAATATTTCCATTCTCAATATATATATATATATATATATATATATATATATATATATATATATATATATATATATATATATATATTTGAATATTATATATTCAAATTTAATATTCAAAACCGTCAATTTCCTTGAGATTTTTATTAAAATTCACAAAAATCTCATCCGTCATCTTTTTGCATATTACTGCACTTTTATGCATTTTTGCACATATTTCATATAAATGCAAATAAATGCATGTACATGCCATAAAAAATATAAATAGATATAAAATAGATAAATTAAGACCAGAAAACCAGTTATTATAAGATTAATATTAATATGTTAATCGCCACGATATTATAACAAAAAAATAATGCATCAAAGAAAATTATTTTGACTTAATTTCTGGAAAAAAATATATGACTGACAAACAAGTTTTTTTCTGGACAAATGTTTTGAACAAAAATATTGAAACAAGTTATATTAAAATAAACTCTAAAATGTGGCAGTTTTATATATCAAGTACCTGCTTATAATACGATTTATTAAACATTTATTTTATAAACATTTTTTAAAAATAGCATTAGAGAATATATATTTTTGTATTCGATATAAATATAAATTAGGTTTATATTTTTTGCTGTAAAAAAGAGGATGAATATGTCTCTTGAAGGAAAAAATCTATTCGTTTGATTGATTGAATCTTTTGTACCCTTCTTTATTATTAATCAAATTAAAGAACTTCATCTAATTTTGAAAACGACATTTCTTACTAACTTTGTCTAAAAATATCTATAACATCGTCTAACTTTTTTCACTTTTATATCTATTTATCTGATTTTTTTGAATCCTAGCCTAATAATGAAATGTGACTTATTTTACTAGCTTTTTTAAAAGATTAATTATTCTAAAAAATCTAGAAATAGTCAAAACAAAAAATAATCCTATAAATTTGTAAATTAGCATTTAAAATAAATTAATTTTACTTCATAAAAATTCTATTGTTTTGTTCACACTTTTTTTTCCTTGATATTTACTTTAATTTTTCTCATTGTACCTAAACAAATTTGTTTTTTTTTTAATTCTAGACTAATAATGAAATGTGACTTATTTGATAGACATTTTTTAAAAAAATAATTATTTTCAAAAATCTAGAAATTCTTAAAAAAAATACTTTGTCTGGCCCAAACCAGGTGTTAATTTTCTCGTTGCAGAAAAAGCGAAAAAATAACCTTTTTGTAAAGGAAAAATTTGATTTTTTTCACTTCTATTACCATTTATATGATTTTCTTCTATTCTAGCCAATTAATGATATTTGACTTATTTTAATAGCTTTTTTTTAAATAATTATTTTTAAAAATCTAGAAATCTTCAGCAAAAAATGTCTTCTTCTGTCCCAAATTAGTAAATAATTTTCTCGTTGCAAATAAAGGCGAAAAAATACATTTATAATGCAAAAAATCGATTATTTTATATTTATATCCTTTTATCTGATTTTCTTTAAATCCTAGCCAAATAATGAATCTTGACTTATTTTATAGACATTTTTTTAAAAAATAATTATTTTCAAAAATCTAGAAATTGCCAACAAAATATTTTAATGTGTTCATTTTCTCGCTCAAGGAAAAACGAAAAAATAGTCTTTCATAATGCAAATAATCGATTTTTTTATTTCTATATTCATTTATCTCATTTTCTTCTATCCTAGCCAATTTTATAATGAAGAAATCCATTCTCTTATTTCTTTAAAAATAATAATTCTCAAAAATCTAGAAACCGTCAACAAAATATTTCATCTATCCCAACCTAGGTGTTCATTTTCTTGCTGCAAAAAAACGTGGAAAAATATCTTTTTTAGGAAAATTCCTATTCGTTTGATTTCTATATCCATTCCCTACATCCTAATCTGTTTTTCCCTTAGTCCTTAGTCCAAAATACACCTTTTCATAGAAAATATAATGAAATCGGCGATAAACGAATTTCGTCATTTGGGCAAAACTAAGTAAGGAAAATTCTACTGAGAGGAAAATGTCACGGCCGAAAATTATTATATAGAAATATATATGGGGAAAATTTAATTAGACACGAATTTGGTGAAAATAATATTTAACAGAATAAAATAAAATGAATTGATTGAAATCAAGACGTAAAATATTTTTTCATTTCATTTTCATTTCAATTCATTTTTTTTAATATTTCGATTTTATTTGCTCCTAAAATGCTTCTAAAATGATAAAAAAATCCTCTGAACGTTTTAGCTCCTAATAATAACTGTAAGATAGATTAAAAAAAATCGAAAATATCCATATTAAGGACCAATCTATTATATTATATATATATATATATATATATATATATATATATATATATATGATAATAAAAATCTACTAAGAAAAGAAACTTTGAATTGAGTAAAATATTCTTTTGTACACATTTTATAATCTCTATATAAACCTCTTTAAACACATTTTTCTCTTAAAAGAGAAGTTTACGATAAAAACGTGTTTATCGACGATTTAGTTCAATAGGTAAACAAATATATATATATATATATATATATATATATATATATATGTATATATAAAGAGATTTTTCACCGAAAGGAGTCTTAAATTTATGAAATCCTACAATGGCTAATATTCTTTATCATTTCTATTTGAAGTTATTTATTTTATGAAAAATAATATATTTATTTTGAATTAATGCAATTACTATATTTTTCGAGCAATGAAAAAGATATCATTCATTTTTTATGTCAGAAATTGTTTTTCCCAAAAAAATCTGTTTTGTCTATTTTTTTTAGTAGTTTCTAATCATTCTGAATCTTTTGGCACAAAGTGAACCAAAATTCAACCTACACGAACGTTAATGATTTATAACGTTTACTAAATTATTATAAATTTGTAAAAATTAAATGATTACCAAAAATTTCTTATATTTTTTTAATATAAATTAGTCATAAATTATTTTACTGATTTTAGATTTTTTGATTAAGTGTGGTATGTGTATATGAGAAGTTTTGCAACTAATTTTGAGGCAAAATGCCATTTGCACCTTGTTCTTAAATTATTTTTCCATAAATTTGTAAAAATTAGCAACTATTTTTATTTATACAATTTTCTGCAAGATTTTTTTTTTCATGTTTGGTATATGAATGAATTTTGACTTCATATTAGAGATAAATTTTTCTCATAAAAATTATTTGGTTTTGTTCATACATTTTTTTTTTAATTTTACATCAATTTTTCTCAGTGTACCTACACAAGTTAGAATTATTTTTCTATGATTCTATATTTATTTATTATTTTTTTGTATTCTTTATATAATTTATTTATTATAAAATTTCAATCGTGGGCATTTTCTTGAATGATATTTTAAAATTAAGTTATTTTTTTTTGGTAATTTTCTTTATACTTTGTACAAAAAATAAAAGTATTGTTTTTAAAAAATTATTAGTATTCACATTTTTATTTAGTATTCTACTGAAAGTATTCTATTTAGGATTTCTACTGAATAATAAAAATCAATTCTGTCGGTCCATTTTCTTTAAATCAGAAGTCAAGGAATTTATATAATATTTCTCCAGAAAGGATTTTCTTAAGTGCATATATAAAATTCAATTTTGTTGGAATAATAGCTACTATGTTACTGCAGAATAATTTATAAATTTTATAAAAATAAATTTATAAAATATTTCAAACAAAATAAAATTTTAGTCTCATTATTGATTATTTGAATTTAATTTTCTTAAACTAATATAAATCTAACTATAATTGAACAAATTTAATTTAAAAAAATATGTTATCCGAACGATTTTAATTACTGTATATATTTTTTGTAGCAACCTGATTTTAATAAATAAAAATATTTTTAGTTATAAAAATTAATTATAAAAATTATGAAATGGAATTTTAATAAATAATTTTGAGTCTAGCATAAATACATAGTGAATATTTTTAAGTAAAGTAATATTTGGAAATAAAAATATATTTAAAATAATACTAATATTCAGGAAATGAGCAAGAAAATAATATCAGTAAAATTAGTAATCATCACTTTTAACTTATAGATTATATTGTAATCAGATTGTTAAAATTACAAAAAAAACCTAAAGCAAATGTAATATTAGTACTAAATACAAAATTTTGTTCGATTTCACTATTCCTATTTAATAATAAACAGACAAACTGCTGTATATTTTAAATTTCATGTACAGTAACAAAATAGCTATTATTCTAACAAAATTAAATTTTATTATTTATTTCTTTATTTATTTATTTATATATACGTCAAATTGGCTATGTACAGTAAATTTATAACATTCCACTAATAATTTTATAACTTAAAAATCTTCTAATATTGAATTTGAAAACTAACATATAATATAAACATCTTACGTAACATCTTAGAAACATATAAAATCTTAGATTTTATTTATTTTACTTATTAATTTTATTATTATTTTTTTTCATTTTAAATTAAACTAGTTGGTTTGGTATTAGCCTTGAGGAAAGTTACATGAACTTCCCGAAATGTGTAAATAATCGACTTAATAAAAAAAATGTAAATAATATACTTCATTAATCCTACTTTAA